AGACGGAAGAAAGATGCAGCTCAACTGCTCAGGGCTGGAAAGGTCCAGGAACAGGCGCCCACTGACTGGGGCTCTGGCTCCTTGGCAAGGGAGCCTGGCTGGTTGAGGAGGTGGCGTTTGACACACCTGAGAGCAGTGAGGAGGGAACCAGAGGGAAGAGCAGGTACAGGGCCCTGAGGCCAGAGAAGGAGGGAGGTCGGCGCCTGGTGCAGAGCCTGCGGGAGGGAGGATGGAGCCCCTGGGAAGGAAGGAGGGGAGGGCGGGGCCTGCGGGAGGGAGGGCAGAGGCCACGAGGTCAGGCCATGTGGGGCCCTGCAGACCCTGGGAGGACTTTGGCTTTCCCCTTCAGGGAGGTGGGAGGTGGCGGCCTTGGGCTTTCTGAGGATTTCGCTGGCTATGATGATAGGAAGAATATGCTGGAAAGGGACGAGGACAGAAGCAGGGAGATTGACCAGGAGGCTGGAGCCGTGACCCAGCAGGACCGAGGGGGCAGAGGCCAGGGTGGTGGTGGGGTGGAGTGGGAGGGCAGGTGAGAGTGGTCGGATCTGGGTGCACCTTGGAGACAGAGGCAATAGGATGTGCGGATGGGTGGGCCGGGGGGCCAGGGTCATGTCTCAGCCTCTGCAGATGGAAGCTTGAAAGAGAAGAGTTGACACCACAACGGGAGGGAGGTGACAGAGCAGTGGGAGTGCGGTGTGTGCCTGAGTGTGCGCATGTGTGTACATGCATACATTCGTGTGTACAAAGGTACATATGCATGCGTGTGCAAGCTCATGCATGTTTTCATGCATGTGTGCGCTTGTGTGTATGCATCTATGCATGTGTACGTGCACACTCATGTATGTGCACATGCTCATGCATGTGTGTGCACGTGTGCGCACAAGACACTTGTGTGTGTGTGCTTGTGTGTGTGTGTGCACTCGTGCATGCACGCATGTGTATGAGAAGATGTCAGGAGCTTGGTGTGGACCTGTGGGCTTGAGGGCCTGTCAGATGCCACCAGGAGCAGTCCAGGGTCCTGATGGCACCTGGCGGTCCTGGTGACGTCTCTGCTCAAGGCTTCCCTAGAGTCACCAGTGTGTGGAGGCCTTTAGGAAGCTGGGCGAGGCTATCAATGGGGGACTAGGGAGGTGACGGCGGACCCGCAGAGGGAACGGAGGGGGGTGGCGAGGTGGGGACAGGCAAGGGCTCTGGAGGCCACGTGAAGATAGTGCCTCTGGGTGGGGCCTGCGGTCTGCTGTGCAGCCATGCCGCCCAGCTGGCACAGTGCTGCCTGAGACTGCCACTGGGTGTGGCCTCATGGGGGAGGATGGCTTTATCCTTAAAGTTGCCAAATGGAAACTCTTTAAGAAGGTTTCTCTGGAGAACCCCGGGCCTTTGCCTTGTGTTGCTTCTCCTCCCCGTGTTTATCTAGTCTCACAGTTCAGTGATTCACAGTCTGTGAGTGGCCTCTCTAGAAACGATGAACAAACGTGGACACATCTTTTATTAGGCTGCTAGGGTCTGTAATTTATGATTTTCGTGGGGTCGGCGCTCAGAGGGGATAAGAGTCAGACTCATTTTTTAAATGAGCTTGTGACTGGAGGGTCCACCTTGCAAACGCTGCCCTGCGGTGCTCGTGGGGGTGGTAGGGCTGGGGACGCCACAGCTGTGCCTCTCCAGGGCCGGCGGGAACTGGCTAAATGTCTGAAACAGCCCGTTTGTCCCGTAGAATGTGTTCTGCCTCCATTTGCTGAAGGGGGTGCAGAGTAGGGTTTTGTCAGACAGAAGTGGCTCCGGTGGCGAAGGGAAGGCGCCTGCGTGTGGGAGAACATGTGGGCTGCACACAGCTTTGCGCCCTTGGGTGTCATGGCTCCCGAGGGGAAGCTGGGACTGTGTACCTTATCCTGGGCCCCCCCCGCCAAGCACTCGTGCTCCCTTTGTCCCTGCGTCTTTTTGTTCTTTGCGAGTCGTGCCCCTTAACAGTGGCATCGACTTGGCCGCCGTTTGTACGTGTTTGCTCTCCTTGACCCCTCTCCTCCGCTCAGACCTCACACGCTACCAGGATGGATGAGGGGTTGGGGGTACAGGGGGTGGGAGGCTTGAGGAGGATGGGGGACGGGGGGTGGAGGGGGCCAAAAGGGTCGAGAGAGATAAGAGGGTCAAGAGGGACAGGGGGTCTTCAGGCCCAGGCAGTTTTCCCCTCTTCTGGCGTCTGCAGAGTGTCTTTACTTTGGGATGCAGCCTGGCCTCTGTGTTTAGCCTTGTGGAGCGGGCGGCCGGCTTGGATGGGGTGTCCCAGCCCAGCTGTTCTGTGTCTCTCCCGGTTGGGATGCATGTTCCCAGGGCTCCCAATGTCCCTGGTTCCGATGGTGATCCGTGGAAGAGGGCGTGCAGGCACCTGAGCCTGCTCAGCACAGGCGGCCCCTGCCCAGCCTTGCCCTTTTCCCCTTCCTCTTTCTTTTCTTTGTTTTAGTGATTTTTAAAAATCCTTTGCCAATTTATAAGGAGCTCTGGTGGTGCAACGGTTAAGCCCTCGACTACTAAATGAAAGGTCAGAGGTTGGAACCTACTAGAAAAACGTGGCGATCTGCTTCTGTAAAGATGACAGCCTGGGAAACCCTATGGGGCAGTTCTGCTCTTTCACACGGAGTCACCATGAGTTGGAATGGACTCAGCAGCACACGACGACAACAACAACATGCCAGCTTATGACTTAATTCCTTCTTTAACAGTTTTATCTGAAATGTAATTTGCGTACCATAAAGTTTACTCATTTACAGTGTACAGTTCAGTGATTCTCAGTGTATTCGCAGTTGTGCAGCCATAACCGCAGTCTAATTTTAGAACATTCCCATCATCCACCGGAGAGCCCCATGCCCCTTGTGGTCACTGGCATTCCCCCTGCCCCCAGCCCTTGGTGACCACGAGCCCACTCTCTGTCTTAGGGATTTGCCTGGTTTGGACATTTCAGATAAGTGGGCTTGTACAAGACGTGGTCTTTTGTGTCTGGTTTCTCCCAGTCAGCATCATGTGTTCAGGGCTCATCCATGTTGCGGCACGTATTGGTACCTCATTCATTTTTATGGGTGAGTAATAGTCACTGTATGGATGGATCACATCCATCTATCCATCATCTGTTGATGGACACTTGGGTAGTTTTCCACTTTTGACTATTGTGGATAGTGCTGCAATGGACAGTCACGTACAAGGTTCTGTGTGGACGTATGTTTTTAGGAGTTTTAGGAATTGCTAGCTCATATGGTAACTGTGTTTAACTTTTTGAGGACCTGCCTGACTGGTGTCTAACCTGCTGCACCATTTTGCATTCCCACCAGCAGCGCATGAGGGCTCCGGTTTCTCCACTCCTTTTTATTCTGGCATCCTCGTGGGTGTGCAGAGGGATCTCACTGTGGTTTGGTTTGCATTTCCCTGGTGACTAGTGATGTTGAGCATCTTTTCGTGTGCTTATTGGCAATTCTGTTCAGATCCTCTGCCTGCTTTATACGTTTTATAATCTAGCCATTTGGTTTTTTATTCTGCATTCTTCTGGTTGTTTGTGGGGATGAGGAGGAAGGTCTGGTGTGTGGAGGGAGAAGACTGAACGGGGGTGGGCTGCACTGAGCTGGGTTCCTGCCTGCACCTTGGTCTTGGTGACTGAATTGCCCTGCAGGCTGGCTGGGGCTGGCCATCCTCTGTCTTGGACCCTGACAATGCCCAGTGTGTCCTCAGCCTCTCCTTCTGTGGTCTTCAGGGCTCTTGTTCCACAGCCAGGGTCTTGCCTTCATTACTTTGTCTATAATTCTATCTTCCTGCCCTTCAGGACACTTATGAAGGTCAGCCAGAGACTTCTGCGGGCTTATATCCGAAGATCTGTAGGCCAAGCAGCTGGCCAGAGGCTTCAGCAGGCTTGTGTGCTAAGATTTGTAGGTCAAGCAGCAAGAAGAGTGTAGATCAAGAGAGAGAGAGAGACAGAGACAGAGACAGAGAGACAGAGAGCACTCTGCCAGAATATTCATTTATGTTCTGAAGCCAGACCACACACCCAAGGAAACTCTCAACTGATTGGTTGATCACATCAGATCGTATCATGGAAGGTAATTGCATTGTCATATCACATCATCTCATCACATCAACCCATCATGCCAACCCACCATGTCAAGCCATCATGTCTTCCCATCCTGTCAACCCATCACACCATCCCGTCACGTCAACCCGTCATGCCATCCCATCACGCCATCCCATCAACCCGTCACACCATCCCATCATGCCATCCCATCACGCCACCCCATCCCGTCAACCCATCACACCATCCCATGATGCCATCCCATCACGCCACCCCATCCTGTCAACCCATCACGCCATCCCGTCATGCCATCCCATCACGCCATCCCATCCCGTCAACCCATCACGCCATCCCGTCATGCCATCCCATCACGCCA